GTTTGTATTGATTGACGTACTGAAGAAATAAAGCCCTTTTGATGGAGCTTTAAATTTACCAGTAGTTGTATCGTAACATCCCATCTTGTTGTACATTATTCCAGAAAATTTGATGACGTCTCCCACGGTCACTTTTGTCTTACCATCTGCTTCAGCAACGAATGCCGGCATTTCAACGGCAGTTTCTTTGGAATCTGAACAAAACAATTATCAGATCACCATTGTTTAAAAGAAATTATTCTTGCACATAACGGATTTTGAGGTGGTCACGTGAGTACATTTTAAAAAACTGGATAGGCCTAAATACTGGTGAATTATTAGATGTCATTTCAAGTGCACCGCATTTAGATGATGTCCTGTTAAGTCCATCACAATTTGATGATGGCCTTTCAAGTGCATCACAATTCTATTTAATTCATGTATCGCCAAATCTTACCTTGTTTAGTAGAAGTAGAATCTAGTTTCGCCACTGTACTTTTCACTTGTGTAAGATCCCCCTCCAACTCTTTCAATTTCTTGGATAGGTCACGTCTAGAGGAAACATTTTTGTTGACCTTGTTTAGCGCATCTCTTAATATTTCAAGCGCCGCCATTTTCTCTTTGAACTCCTCCAAATCTTGACGCCATACTTCATGTTGTGATGCCAGTCTGTCAACGTCCTGTCTAATTTTAGATAGATCGGCTTTGCCCTGAATCACCACATCATCGTTTCCCACTAAAATCTGTTCCATAAGCATCTGTTTGGCTTCAGTCTTATAAAGCCGGGATGATAAGTTATTTTCTTTGGCTAAAACATGAGTCTCTAAGCTGGACATTTTTTCCTCCAGAGTTTCAAGTTTCTGTTTCAATAAATAAGAAACCGAAGAAGAACATTGCTGAGTAAGGAAAGACCTTTTTGACTTCTCATTCTCATTGCTGTCTGAGTCTGTTTGGAGTAAATTAAATTGTAAGATTTTGTGCTGAATATAATAAAACAGTAGTAGTGACACGGACGATGGACATACTAACAGTTACATGGACACACATACCTAGTTTTTAAAGTTACACTAAATTGGCTAATTTCTTCTTCAGCTTTTTCAGAGCTATCATCGATGTTTAAGTAACTAATTACTTGCTGGATAAGTTATCCAATCGTCTTCAACCTTTCAAAACAGTGTAAACAGACGTTTTGTTTAGTTTTACTCTTGGACTTACAGATAATATTCTTAGTTATTAAAGTTCTTTTTAAACAAATATTTTTAAAAAAGAATTTGAATACAATATAATACCCACAATGAAAGTGAACCATGTCTTCCATCGATTCCATACAAATATTTAGTTTGTCTTGCATGAGGTCGAAATGTGAAGCCAGATTTAAACTGTAAGAGGTTACTTTTTTTGTGACCACGGTCATCACTTTTGTTTCAGCCTGTTTGACAAAGTAAAATCTACATTGTAAATAACGCGTAATTTAAGTTAAACCTACATTGTAAAAAAACGGGCAGGCGTTGGCCATAAATCGCCTTCTTAAATGCATTTATCAACTAAAGAATACACATTATGGGTACTCATTGATTGAACAACATTGCAGGATTTTGAACTAAAAATCATTTGTTCAGGGACAGTCTGATCTAATTTATAATCTCAGATTGACTGAAGTCTGCCGTCTGTTTGCTGGCTGGATATTTGTAAACAGTTACGGCAATTAAACATCGCTGTTATTTGATCAACTGTTTGTAACTTGTTAGATTTGTTAACTTTGATGATAGCAAAATTACATTGGGAAATGGCGTCAGTGCGCTGTCCAGCGCTAGCTCTTAATGCTCCCCCCTCCCTCACAGCCCAAGCACCGGGTTCCCCCCGATACCGGACCGTGTGGCCGCACGTCAGGGACTCAACCAACCGAGACCACACCCCCCGCACCCACCCAAGCGGGTTACAAATGGAGGCCGTCCCGGGGACGTCCGGTCTACCTAGGACGCCGCGTGTAAAGCGTTCGCAGCCAACTCTCCCATGGAGTCGGGATGGTGCATTAACGTTCTAATATCTTCCTCCACACATCCCGGGGAAGCGTCGGACGCCCTCCAAGAGGATTTCGACAGTGGGTTTCTACTACGAAACCTATTTGTGAAGTAGCTGGGACGAAACGGTTGCATAGGAACATCTTTCTCGTGGTTATGTGTGTAGAATAATCGGCAAGAGGCTTCCACCTTCGCCTCTTGCCTCATATCCATTAACGATAGCTTGTAATCATGATCCCTACCCTGTCTCTGCCTTTACTTCTAACTGTAAACCGTCACAGCTGGTAGCCCTGTAGGTGTTATTTTTATTCCGGCAGGTACCATGTATGTCCCTTGTCTGCCCACGCAATGGTGGTCCTGTTCCACGGGTAACGTCGAGGGGTCCGGTACCCGACGTCTCCTATTCGGCAAGCCACCACAGGCTTGTCAACCGGAGCCCCGGGGAAGAATGATAGTAATAATCAGTTGATCATTATATTAATAACTGTTGAACTACATTGCAGAAAGATGGGACTTGTCAACCTGCGATGGTGAGATGGGATGGGATGGTGAGATGAAACTTGTCAACCTGGGATGATCAGATGGGACTTGTCAAGCTGGATGTGAGATGGGGCTTGCGTACCTGGGGATGGTGATATTGGACTTGTCAACCTGGGATGGTGAGATGGGACTTGTCAACCTGGGATGGTGGCCCATCTAAGAAAAGGAAGACTACGATTGCAGACTTTCTGCTTTGCGGCTACAAACTAATGGTTAAAGGCCAAGGGACACAACACTGACAGAGAAATCCCGAGATTGAGTCTCGTAAGCGGTACTATATTGAAAGAATGTGCATTCCGGCAATTCCTGCGACACCCCTAGAGTTAAGCTGCACCATCCATTTGATGTTCACTGGGGCTCATCACATGTCTGGAGAGGGTGTTTTCCTGACTGGGAACCAGGATATTCTTCATACAAAAACACCCTGCCCAGGCCTTATGGCTTTGATTATTGCAGCGAAACTCCTCATCATCGTTTGCTTGATGCCGGCGGATGCCCCCGACCCGGATGCCCCCGACCACTTCAAAACTAAATATTGTTGAGCTGGTTGTTTATTTCTATCACAGTGATGCACTTTGTCTCGACCGGAAACACTTTTATTTTACGACTTCACCAAACAGGCAGGCCGTGAGGAAAATGGGGTGGGGGGGGTGGGGGGACTAGGAGGTTGGGGAAAACTGTGAGTTTATTTCCAGACATCGCTCGATTATAACTATGTTAATGATTAAAATTATTTAAAAAAACACACTTTTTTACCAGAATGTATTAAGTACATATATTTTAAATTGCACGGAAGTTGAAACATAGCTTTATATTACGCTGAGTTATCACTAATATATCATCTAACATAAAATATATAGGAATAAATCATCTCGGAAATATACGGTGTTAAGATGATAAAGATTTCTCTATACAAAAGCTATTATTTATTAAAAGAATTTGTTCCAAGTTTGGTATATATAAGTTTTGGTGAATAAGTTCTCGTTTGGAATGAATAAATAGAACAAGATTATTTTGCTTAGGCTTTAACACACAAAAAAAGACAGGACAATTAAAAGGACGTTTTGGCAAGATGCCTTTTCCAGCAGATGATAAACAAATAGAAATAACAAATTATATTCTAATAAGAAATAACTTACAATACATGTAATTGGTACTGGTTAAAAGATAAAATAAATAGTTACTTCATTAATAAACTGATCCACTTTCTTCAACGTGTCCAGTATCTCCTTGTACTGGATCACGATTTCACCGAGCTTTCCTTTCAATATGTTCTGGACGGTGGTCAGCTGACCTGGTTGGGACTGCATCTTCTATACGAAATTAAAAATAGAATTTAAAAAATTGGTGTGTATATACACACCAAAGGAAACTAAGGTAATGAGGGTTGTACGAAGGGAGGGAAGAAGGCAGTAAACAGCCCGGGTTCCAACATCTGGGGGACGCCATACTCGTCAATACACTCGACCAAAAAAAAAAAAGAAGTTAATTTTAAAAAAAAGCAAATGGTCGTCTAAAAATTAAAAAAGAAAAAAAGATTAATTTAATTTATCCACTTGAGTAGTCTTAAAAAAAATAGTGGGTAATAAAAATAGCTGGTAATCTGAAGTTCAATCCCAACCAAAGCCAAGACAGGCAAAAACATCCCAAGCACCCCGGGTGGATGGGACCCATCTAAGAGAAGGCAAACTCTGAATTCAAACCAGGAGCCAGACTATCAATAAATTGATCGTGGGTCGTCAAATATACAGAACAGCGTTTCTTTACACAACCTTTCGTAAAGAATAAAATTATAACTAAAATTAAAATAATTTCATTTGCGGATCAAATTTCAAAACTTTATTTTAATTTCTCGAATCTTGAAATTTTTATGTTTCACTAATATATATACCGGTATGTATGTAATTCTTATGTGTATATTAAGTTAAGGTTCAGGTTTTCCTAGTCGCAGCTCTCCTTTCGTATGTGGCAAGGTCCTCCAGGAGACGACCTAGACATGATTCTGCCACTACAAAATTGTATGAAACGAAATTAACGTCATTTCTGAGAGCCCCACTTATGTTTGATTCGTTGTTTATTACATTCTACGGAAGATGAGATTATAATTTAAAAAAAAAAAAGTTATTTAAATAATTGGTTAATTTGTTCTTGCAACCTGTGAAGTATGTTATGTGTGGAGGAAAATAAACGAAGTTACACAAATTCAAGTGAGAAATGGTGGCATAAAAATACTTACAACTTCAACTGGAGATTTTTGAAATCTGCGGACGACTTTCCTTGTCGGAACCTTGCTACACTGGCAGTGGGGAAACAATGCTTATACTAACTTTGAAATATTATTTTTTTCTGTATTTTAATTAACAAATAATAATTAATTATCAAAATGTGATCAATGTCGATCACCTATTTAAATCAATAAGTCAATAAGCAGCGAAGCACATAATCTCAGCTAGTGGATCTTTCCCATAAAACTGGAAATTCGTATCAGTTGTCAGTGGGAATTCCCTTAGACGCCCTCAAACTGCTTATTTAAAACAGCTAATGAGTAGGGCCTCTTGATCAAGTTTATATTTTTTAATTAAAATATATTCTTATATTCCATTTCTTCTGAAATCAACATATGCATTAATTTATTTACCTTCAAGATGACAAGTCATCAAATACAAGTCTTCCAATCTTTGCTTCAACTCGTTCACTGACCCTCACTTTCCTGTCTATCTCTCTGAACTGTTGCTTCCTTACATCCCCACAAGACAACTACGTTCTTCCATTGACAGTAGAACCCTCTCAATCCCAAGAACTAAAACTAAGACCATCGGTGAACGCTCCTTCTGCTTCCATGGGCCCACGTTCTGGAACCAGCTCCCCTTCCATATACGTCATAGTGAAACCTCGTCCATTTTCAAAAAGTCCCTTAAAACTCATCTGTTTAGGTCCGCCTATGACCTGTGATGCACCCTCCTTGCCCTACCTAATTTTCTGTTTCGGTTTAATCCTGAAGTGTCAAAGTGTCCTCTTTTTATAGCCATTTTCATTGTTTCTATAGAATAGTAGTTACTATCCTAGTGTCTCATTTGTATTTACTTAGTTTACATGTTTTAATAATTGTAAAGCGCTTAGAGCTTTATGATAAGCGCTATATAAAAATGCCTAAATAAATAAAATAAATAAATTTCAATTTTTAATTGTAGCTACCTACTATATGAGAATGGAAGAAAAAAATAAGAAATAATTTTCCCGAATGTTCTATTTAAAATTTCTCTAAGAAACATGACTATGAAAAACTCCGTTTTGATAAGTGCAATTTATGGCAGTGCATATTAGACCGAGAGCAACAAGATGACCCAGATCATCCACAGATCAACTTTCAACACTACGAATCATTGTAGTCCATCGAATGAAACTCCCCCATATATATAAATTTTATAGACAAAAAAGTCATCTGATAGCCTGGACCGAAAAACCTATTGAAAATTTCTCCGGCACTATGGGGCACCAGGAAAACTAATCAGGATCATTCAGAGTTCTTATGAAGAAATGACATGCAGGGTGGTCCACGAAGGTAGACTCAAAGATGGCTTTACAGTGGAAACAGGAGTCCGATAAGGACATCTCTTGTACACTACCCTATTCATCCTTGTCATTGACTAGATAATGAAAAAATAAGACAATAAGAGGAACGGGTACAGTGGACACTCTTGTATGAACTGAAGGACCTAGACTTTGCAGACGACATTACACTTCTGTCCCACAACCATGCAGGAAAGACAAAGGATGGAGCCACCATTTCAGCACAAGTCGGACTCATTATAAACAAAATCAATACAAAGATCATGAACGTCAACTGAGCCAACTAAGAGCATACCTCTCTGGCAGGAAATGCACTGGAAGAAGTGGAGGCCTTCACATACTTAGGCAGCACCATCGACATAAATGGTGGATCCGAAGCGGATGTCAGTGCTCTGCAAACCAACGTCAGAATCTTCGACACAAATGTAAAAAGAGTCCTACGCTCTGGAGACGAAACTTGGAGAAAAACAGCGAGCATTACGCAGAAAGTACAGACCTTTATAAACACTTGCCTTAGAAATATCCTGAACATCAAATGGCAAAAGACCATCACCAACAAAAACTTACTGGAAAGGACATGCAAGGAGCCTATTGATGAAGATATCAATAGGAAAAGATAGAGGTGGATAGGACACACTCTCGGCAATTCCCCCAGATAACATCACCAGACAATCCATAACATGGAATCTTCAGGGAAAAAGAAAGAGATGAGGCCAAGAACGCATGGAGACACACAAAGTATGGGATACACCTGGAAGCAACTGGAAAGGAAAGCACATGACCGACATAAATGGAAAATTCTTGCAGACGGCCTATGCCCCTGACGAGGTAAAAGACATAAGTAAGTATATTGGACCGACTCGTCGCGAGGACTCTACAACTTCTGGGGCTGAAAAAAAAGGGGGGGGGGCTAGGATAGTTAGGGGGCCCAAAGTAGTGATATGGGAAAACAATTCAACTTTAAATGAATGGGGCTTTCAAACATGAAGGCACAGACGAGAACTTAACGTCTTGTGCTCAATAGACCTAGGCTACTAAAATAATAAGGAGAAAATAAAGAGTGGTTCCTTAACCCCTCCTACACAGTAGTCTCCCTCCTTCACCCCCCCCCCCATTAAGCAACATAAAAATCAAACTTAGGTCTACTACCCTTAGACATAATACTACTCTAAGACAGAATGCTACCCTAAGACAGAATACTACACTAAAACAGAGTATTACCCCAAGACAGAATGCAGTTCTTATTGACATGACAAAGCAGAACTTTGGTCCACAACTCTAGCGGCCTATTCTACACAACTCTAGCGGCCTATTCTACACAACTCTAGCGGCCTATTCTACACAACTCTAGCGGCCTATTCTACACAACTCTAGCGGCCTATTCTACACAACTCTAGCGGCCTATTCTACACAACTCTAGCGGCCTATTCTACACAACTCTAGCGGCCTATTCTACACAACTCTAGCGGCCTATTCTACACAACTCTAGCGGCCTATTCTACACAACTCTAGCGGCCTATTCTACACAACTCTAGCGGCCTATTCTACACAACTCTAGCGGCCTATTAGTTAACACAAAAAACAAACTTATCCCATAAACCCTCGATGCCATGGGATATTTTTTCCAAATCGTCAGGTTGAATTTAAAATTAGGAGTCACGAGCAAAACCAGCCAGCGTATATGAAGCATAAATTATGTATACAAAGAGTGTTGTGGTGTTTAGGCCTGCAAAGTATATACACACCATTGTTCTTAAGTATTCATACTTGTAACACAACTTCTACTCTGACATGGCGTGGGATGTTATTTCTTATGCTGTGGGTTATGTCAGTAGTATGGTTACTTATATTAACGCTTCAGGATGCCGACTCAGTCTTCTTCATTCTTTCACTTATTATTCAGGCACGTAAAGAAGAATACTCAATTCTAGTTAAAACTCACAGTACTTTATTGAACACACTTTATATTGATAATATTAATAAATAATCCTTGCATGAATGTAATTTCACATATATATCTATAGTATTCCATCATTAAGAAAGACACGTCCTCACACTAAACTGTCAACTGTCTAATCACACAGCTCTCACGCTACTGACTCTACTGCTCTGCGCTCAGCTCTCTACTATCTCAGTCAACTCATACTTTATTACCAGCAAAGCGTGCAAAACAACCGCTCTGACAAAAACATAATTTTACTCTCCAAAAACGTGGAGTTCACATTTGTTCTCAAAAATACAATCCACATTGATTGTCTCTCCCCGTGGAAAAACCTGGTGAACACACTCACTGTCCACTCATGCTACCTCTCTGTTTACATGTGAAAACATAGTCCGTTACATGCCCCACCCATCTGAAAAAATTTTGTGCAACAAAATTTTTGGCATTATATGTTGAAATAATGATAATGTCTCTTAGAAAATTTCAATGCCACATCTAACAATCAAATCAGTGTAACAACATTAACATTTCATCATTATGAAATACAGAGTCTTTTACTGTTAATATCACACTTAATAGTGAATAATTTACCCTGGCAAAAAATTAAAAAATCACCAATGACAACCTCTTAAAATCTTTATGTATGATAATGTGAAGTGACATTAACATCTTAATGAATAATAAACACTGCAAAATGAATGTAACAATCTTAAATTTTGCATTAGAAAATTTACAATCGGTTAAAATCTGATATTCATTTACAAAAATTGATATGTACAAGTGTCTTATCAAAAAACTGAGTGAACGTATGTGTGTATATTCATTTAGAATGTCTGACTAATGTGTCTTAAGTCAGTGTCTTTGTCATTGTCTGCATGTTCAATGTGTCTGGAAAGGAAATCAGCTACTGTATTGTCTTTTCCTTTTATTGTCCTTATCTCATACTGATAATCTAATAGTATCAACGACCATCTGTTTATTTTACTATTCGCTATTTTCTTTCTATTTAGTGCCATTAATGGCTTGTGATCAGTCAATAATGTAAATTTTCTGCCTAATAGATATTTCTGTAGTTTGGTAAGTGCCCACACAATTGCTAAGCATTCTTTTTCAATGGTTGAGTAGTTAATTTCAGTTCTGCTTAATGCTCTACTTAAATAGGTAATTGGTCTTAATTTATGATTGTATTCTTGCATAAGGCAAGCTCCTAATCCAATGTTGGAGGCGTCTGTAACTAGAGTGAAAGACTGTTTAAAATTGGGTGATAACAATATGTTGTCACTTTGGAAAATTTCTTTGATTGTTCTCAGTGTATTTTCGCATTCATCCGTCCATACTATTTGTTTCTTGCTATCTTTATTTATTAGTTTCCTTAAGGGTAGTGTAACATCAGAAAATTTTGGAACAAAAGTGCTGTAAAAATTGCACAAACCTAAAATGGCTTTTACTTCTTTCTGAGTGTGTGGTGTTTTTATATTTAGTATTTTTCCTCTGTTGTGTTCTGTGGGCTGAATTGTGTTTTTACCGACTTTAAATCCTAAAAATTCAATGTCCTCTTGTGCAAACTTTAATTTGTTTGGTGCTATTGTAACTCCATGTGCTCTTAATTTGTTTAGTACTGTTTTTATAGTCTCTAAATGTGTCTTCATATCCTTAGTGTGAATACAGATGTCATCGACAAAATGTACGACATTTGGTATGCCTTCTAGCATGATTCGCATGAATCGAGAAAATGTTGCGGTGGAATTAACTAGACCAAATGGCATTACTGTCCATTCGAACAAGCCTTCCTCTGTGGCAAATGCAGTCAAAGGCATGGAATCCGGATGCATGCCTATTTGCCAGAATCCTCTGTTTAAATCTAAGTGGGTGAATAATGTGGAGGAGCCTATTTCTTCCAGTAGTTCTCTGGTGTCCCTCATGGGTTCTGCATCTAATTGTGTGATTT